CCCAAAACCCCAAAACCACCATAGTCAGATTATAACATGATCTGTGAAATTAATTATAATTTATAATTATTAAGTTAGCAGACTATTATTTATTTTGAATTCAAATGAATGTAAGTTACTGATTGATCTGATTTTTACCATTTAGAAATAAAACACCATTTAGCTTCCAATTAATACACGAAATGCAGTTAATTAGGCAGAGAGTGTGATGGAGCTAGTCAATCTTTATATGGCCAATCAAAAATAAACTTAGCCCTTGTTATAAAAACTTCAAGCAGTAATATAAGCTTTGAAGAGGTGTGGCTAATAGAATCCTGATATTGATCAAAGTCCTCCTTACATTAGAATACTGGAAGAAGTCAAGGATAACTTCAAAGATGTTGGCTATTACACTGAGGACTTTAATAAACGTAATGCTATTGCTAAAAAGTAAGTCAATATATATTTAATTCGGAAAATTAGAACCAAGGGGAGTTCAATCAGATCAAAGCTTACAATCTTACAGAATAGCATAGCTAACTATGCGAGACTAATTGAATCACTCTCAATCGTCAGAAACTAATAAAACAATTAATATGAAGAGGCTTCAGAAGAGAATAAAGACGGAAATATATAACCAAGATAGGTCTAATACTATAATGATGGTTCCTAATAATAACATGAGAAAAAACTATAGAACAAAATAGATGAGTTTGAAGTAAAACTTTAAATGTTCTTGAAGTAATAATCTATGCAAGATGAAAGTGACTATCAACAAAAGGAATATGCTTAGAAGTTATCTCTAATAGAAAAAGGGGATATAAAATCAAGCAGGAGAATATAGCATAATAATTCATCGTAAGAAAGAGGTCCAAATGACAAGGATAATCTCAATAAAAATAAGCAAAATTATAATAATGGAAAACTATCTGACTTAAATGTTAACAAAGCATTCAGCGATGAGCCTAGAAGCCCATTACGATTTAATAAAGGCTAAGAATATTGCCTTGAAGCACATTGTCTGCTTTATGGGCATGGAATCGAACCAAATACTGAAGTTGCCATGGTATGGTATGAAAGAAGTGCTAATCTAGGCGAACCAAGAGCAATTGATTCCTTAGGTAAATTATATGAGGATGGAGTTGGCACTAGAATTGATCTGAATAAGGCTGTTTAGCATTTTCAAAGAGCTGCTGAACTTGGTGATCCATCATCATAGTATAAATTAGCTAAATATTACTAAAGAGGTGGTATATTTCACCTCAATGAAGGCAAACCCGATGGTTAGAAAAGTTTTGAGTTATTACAGTCTGCTGCATAAGAAAATTAAAAAGAAGCCTTGAGAGAATTAGGGTTTATCTATGAGAAAGGTGGTTTAATTGAAGGTTAAAATCCTGGTAAATTTATTCTCCTAGTTGATATTGATATTAAAAAAGCACTTGATTATTATTAAAAGTCTGCTAAGTATGGCGATGAATTGGCAATGAATTATTTAGGTTCATATTATTTCAATCACTCCTAGGACTATGATAAAGCTGTTTAGTTTTTTAGGTAAGCCTCTGAATCTGGTAAATGTGAAAGAGCTCTTAATAATCTAGCAATATGCTTTGAATAAGGTATTGGTGATGCAGTATAAGATTATTACTAAGCTTTGAAACTATATGAGCAGAGTGCAATCCTTGGTTATGATTAAGCTTTAATAAATTAGGCTTTTCTCTACTACAAAGTTGCTCTCTCTGGTCATAACCTTGGGGATATGGATTCATCTGAGCTATACTTTTAATGTGCTCAATGTCTTAGAAAAGCTCTATTCAAAGATGAAAATAATTGTGATGCAATATTCCTTCTGGCTAAGCTCTATGAAGAAGGATTATCAATTGATTAAAATCCTTAATTAGCTTATAAATACTATGAAAAGGCAGCAAATCTTGGATTTCCCAAGGCGTATACTAAATTAGGCCATCTATACTATTCTGGAATGATTTAAGCAGACAATCAGGACTTAGTGACTCCATTTTATATGACCAAAGCGCATATTAACAAACTTAAATCAATGGAATATTACTAAAAAGCATCAGATCTAGGAGATACAGATGCTTCTAACTGTCTTGGATTGATTTATGAATCTGGACTTGACACGTGTCTCTAAGCTGACATTGAAATAGCAGAGAGAAATTATTACCTTGCCTTAAAATAAAACAAATAGAATTTAGATGCAATGTTTAACCTCGGATTATTGCTTTTCAATGGTAATCATAATGATCCTAGCAAGTCAAAATTAGGTATCACCTACATTCAACAAGCTGCTGATTAAGGAGATCTAAGAGCCAAAGAATTCTAAATGATTTCTTAAATGCAAACTGTAACTCAAAATTTTGTCTAAAATTTAATAAGACTAAACCCCCAAATAAATTAAAATGATAGTATCCTAAATGATGAAGAAATAAACTTAAGAATTAACTGATAAATTTTAGCTTTATTCTTAATTTCATAAATTTTACATGCTCTGATATATTTCCATATGCAGCAATCAGGGGTTTTGGGGTTTTGGGGTTTTGGGG